AGACATTTTATCAGAATGACAGAAAAAAGAGGACGTTGATTACAGAAAGTTATGAAGCCTCATAAAAAGAAGGCTGGTGGTCAGGCTGCAGGAGTGTGAGTTTTCCTGTCCCATATAGGGGCTGACTGCAGCACTGATCAATGTTAATCGTTCACTGCTGTTTAAGGAGTGCCTTTGCCTGCCCGTGCTGCCTGCCTTGAGGGTGCTTGTGTGAAAACACTKCTGACTGAATGTCTTTGTACTAGTGCTGTGTTCCCTATAGAGAGATAGGACTTTATGTGTTGCCATCAAGAGGAAAGTTTGTTGGATTTGTGAAGTCTGTGAGTTCATGTATTCCCTCTTCTACATTCCAGTTACTCTTTCTTGTTTTCAGGAAAATCATTCTTAAGCTTAGCAACATGCAGTTGCTGCTTGGTATTGCGAAATGATTAATAGCTGAAGTTTTTAATTRTTGGTTATTGAGTTAATATGTGTGRCTCAGTTGTGATCTGCCCCTGGAGCAGCAAAGATAGAATAAATCCAAGCACTGAGGAGATTATTCCAGTGTTAGAGTAACAGAAAAAACACTACAGTTGTTGTGAATGCTGCTCTTAAATTTTATTAAAAAAAAAAAAGTGCAACATCACTAATGAAGCTGAAARCCAGATTTTATACAGTTGCAGAGTTAATCCTGTGCTGCTGTGACCACACAGATCTTTCCCACCATACMACTCGTGCATTTCACAGAAGAGGTGGTAAGGAGAGCTTCTGCTGTGTGTCCACAGAGGGCAGAAGTGCTAGGGCTGTGCTAAGAAGAGGTGCAGGTGGCAGATGGATATCTTCACAGGGACAGATCTACAGGCTGAGTTTTACCAGGATTGCCTTTATGCTTAGTAAAGTTGTTTGCTATTTTCTTGGCTAAAGAGTTACTGTTATGTGAAGCAAAGGGAATGGGGTGTATCACTGCTGCTCCGAGAGCAGAGGAGGGGTTGCACTCAGYGTGCTTGTTTGCATGTCTGTACCATGGAGGAGTCCTGCATCTGCTGCATCTCCTTGCCACTTTTAGAAGACTTGGGAGTGCCCTCGGAGGCTTAGTAAGGGCTGGTTAGTGAGGCAGTTACTAGTTAGTGTTACGCTAACACTAAGAACAGCATTTGCGATCGCCTGCAATAAACTGAGCTCCAGAAAYTGAGCTTAGATTCTGATTTCTTAASAAGTTTAAGTATTGGATATTTTCATTCTTTGGAAAAATCTGATTTGGAAATGCTGATACCATTGGATKCTTTGCTAAACCAAAGGGAGAATCAGGACCTTGTCATCTTCTCTTAAGACTTTTAAAAGCCATAGTGTTTTTAAATAGGTATTGTGTTTAATCCTCTTACAGACACAAAGATAACCAACTGACCATGCAAAGAATAGAAAAAATTGCCTGGATGCTCCTAAAATGTGCTAGTGTGGTTTTTTTCTTGTTTTCTAAAAACTTTTTATTGTCCTTTTACAGCCAGTTGGATTTTGTCTTCATGGTTTTTTCTTTGGTTTCAATTCAAGACTTCTACCTGTAGTTGTGTCAATGCGGTATTTAACCTGATTTTGAAGGCTGAGGAAAAATTGGGTAGTGGGTCAGTCTATGGTAGTTGGTGTCTTGCTGTATAGAAACATAAAATGGTTTGGATTTCAAGGGACCTTAAGGATGATTTAGTCTTGGCCCATTGCTGTGGGCAGGGATACCTTCCACTAGATAAGGTTGTTTAAAGCCCCATCCCACCCAACCTTGAGCACCTGCAGGGATCCACAACTTCTCAGGGAAACCTGTTCTAGTGTCTGACCACTCTCACAGTAAAGAATTAATGGTATGTAATATAAACCTGCCCTTTTTTCAGATTAAAGCCTTTCTGCCTTGTCCTATCACTACACTTGTCCTTGTAAAAAGTCCCTCTTCCAGCTTTCTTCTAGCCCTAGCCCCCTTTAGGTAATGGTGGGTGCTCTAAAGTCTCTCCAGAGCCTTCTCCAGGCTGRAGAAGTCTGACTCTTTCAGCCTGTGTTCATTAGAAAGCTGCCCCAGCCCAGCTCTGATCATGTTTGTAGCCCTGCTCCAGACTCATTCCAGCAGGTCCCCATTTTTCTAATGTTGGGGGTCTCAGAGCTGGATGCAGCACTRCAGMYGGGCTCTCATGTGAGATGAGTAGAGGGACAGAATCTTTTGGATGACAGAATCATTATCTGCTGGCCAAGCTRCTTTTGATGCAGCSCAGGATGTGRYTGGAWTTCTGGGCTGCAAGTGCAYGTGGCCAGGTCATGTTGAGCTTCTCAACCAACACCCCCAGGTTCTTCTCAGGGCTGTTCTTCATCCATTCTCTGCCCAGTCTGTGTTTATGCTTRGGATTGCCCCAACCYRGTTGCAACCCCTTGCAYTTGGCATTGCTGAATTTCATGAGGTTTGCACAGGYCCATSTCTCAAGCCTRTCAAACAGGTCTCCTGTTTCCTTGCAGAGAGGACTCACATTTTCCTTAGCCTTCCTTTTATCACTGGTGTACCCAAAGAAGCTTTTCTTGTTGCCTCTGATGCCCCAGGGCCAGATTTAATTCTTTCAGGGCATGTTAGCTTTCCCACTATGATTCCTGTTTGCTCAGACAATCTCTATTCCTCCCAGGTAAGCYGTTCTTGCWTCCACCCTCTGCAGGCTTCCTTTCTGTGTTTGTCCAGGAGCTTCTTGTTCCTCTGTGCWGGGATGCCATGGCCTCTGAAGGCTGTCCCTCCATCTAGCAAGGATCGCTCAAAGTCTTGTGAATCAGCTCCTCAAGTGCTACAGTGTCCTAGACAGGCATTTTAACAGAATAAAGAACTTGATAACCAATAGCTGTTGTGGCCTGGTGGTGACCTAAGCTGCTCCCCCATGGTCCATGCATCAGTACCCCACTTTGCACAGAGTAACCTGATTTAGATGATGCACCAATATATCTACACAATTTCCAGTTGGTTTTTGGGGTGGAAAAAGGTTACTTATGCCATTCTGTAGGGGGACTATGCCTTTTGCTCTCATGTGAAAGAAAACCATGTAACTTATTTTCCCGTTTCCTAGAGAAAGCACTTTCACTGCATTTATAGTGTTTGCCCTTTCCTTTTGAATTCTGGTAGTTTATGTTTTCACTTCTGCTTTTCCCATTTTTCTACTAACTTTCCTTGAATGGCTCTATTTCTCCACTGAATTCTGTTTCTGGCCTCAAAGTTATTTGCCTGTGTTTACAGGGAGAGTAGATGTGTATGTAAATGGAGTTGTCTTTGCCATGGTAATATGATCTTCAAAGGCTTGGACTACAGTCACTTTGCTGCATTCTTTACATAAAATGTTTGTCTTGGCAAGTTGCTGCCAACAGAATGCTGCAAGGGCCCCGTCCTGCTAATTGGCTTCTGCTCCCACTGGCTGATGGGGCTTGTATGCATAAAAAAATTAACTTTAAAGTTAGAGTTGYGTGGTCCTTGCATAGTTACATTCACATTCTACCATTTTGCCCATTCTTTACTGAGGAAGCGATCATTGCTTCTTGACTTTTCATGACCATTTAGTGTGTATTAAAATACAGAAGTCCATAGCAATGGAGGAGGACAGCTTGGTTCCAGTCCAACATGGAAACCTTTGTGAAAGTAGTCCACAGGGAGTCTTGAGTATGAGGMATCAGTATCTCTTTTTGTACCTGTTTTTGTCTTTGCCATCAGTGCTGGTCAGTGTGTGCTGTGCTGTGGGCTGGAAAAAMAGGAGCTGTTGTGGGCAAGGAGGCTGCACACCACAGGCTTAAGGAGAGATTTGTGCTGGGAGCGAGGGTGTGTAATGTCGTGAGCAAAGCAGGAAGAGACTTGATTGCTAATGTGTGTCATCAGCTTGTGCTGCAAGCCCCACCACAGCATGAAATTCTCAATGGAGTGGGCCTACACCTCAAAAAAGATCTGATAAAGAAGTGAACACACAATTCTATTGCAGCTTTCTCTACCCCCTCAATCTAAAACCTTTTCTGTGTTCTGATACTTCCTGATCTTGGGACAGTGGGATAATGGAAAGGAGCCTTGTGCTGCTGCCCTTAGCTCCTGTCCTGGCTTTCCAATAAGGGGTTTCATATTGGGGGTTACCCCAGCTCCCCACTGGGTGCTCACTTATAGCATGACCCCTCAAACCTTACATGGAAAAACTGGGAGTGGGGTACACTGGCACAAGATGGATGGAGACAAATGATTCACAAGCTTTTTTTGTAGCTATCAGAGCTACAGTCTTATAAATGTAGCAGCCTTTCATTGGAGGRTATTAATTGGTATAGTCATAATCACTCTCTACTTGCCCTGGAAATTGAGAGTGMAGCCATTTGTATCTGTTGAAATATAAACTGCTGTAACTGAGGGGGGTGTTCTCAAAATCCCACTTCCCAGAATCAGCTGGCCCCAGTTTTTTGCTGTTCGAACATATGTGGAGTACTGTAGTTTATCCAGGCCTCAAACTAATCTAGCTGATTAAGGTAAAACCCAGAATTGTACAACTATTTAGAAGCTATAATGAAAAAACATTAAAGTGCTATCAAAAGGTGTCTAAAAAGAAAAAACAAAYGCAAAATTTTGTGAAGATGCCTGTCATGTGGATAAATTAGCRTTTACATTGTTGTGAGGTGTTCAGACATGGCTCTGAAACAGTCACACATTTTACTCAGGTCAAGAATGCTGCAAGAATGGAGAGAATTTCAGTAAGAAGAGAGCGTGTTAATTATCCACGCAAGATATTCACATTCAGCRCTGCATTTCATGTGTTTCCATATTGGCTGAAGCAAAGCAAGAAAAGTGTTGTGCTGGGGCAGTGTGCATGCATGGCTTAGAGCTGAATAGATGTAAATGGTTAAAAAGGGGTTCTCTGCTAGAGAGGAGGAGGGGAAAGTAAGAGTGCATTCCCAAAAAAGTACATTCCCAAAATAAAAAGCTTACATCATGGACCTCTTCAGTTTTCCCACACTTCTTCCCTAATTATTGTCCTGCAGGACAGCTGATCTATTTCAAACAGGAAGCTGTTTACAGATAACACTTGCAACTGTTTTGTCTGATTTGTTGAACTGTCGAAAAGCAAAAGACAACCTCTTTTCAAATTAAAAACTGTCAGACTTCTGTAAACAGCAGCAATGAGGTTCATCTGTGCAGTGTCCCTGCAGGCACACAGCGTTCTGCAGTTCCCATTCTCTCAGCAGCCATAAGGTAAGAGACTTTTATGCTTTCACTCTGTAAAAACATGTAGAGAAAAGTCTGGATGTTTGTTAGGGGCTTTGTAKATGGGAAAATATGATTGACAATACMCAAATAATAGGGGAAGGTAAAGGAAAAAAGAACTGGCTTTACTTTCTTGGATAACGTTGGAGCTTTCTATTGAGAAGTACCCATGTGGGTGAGATCACTGAATTCCAGTTTAGTTTAGTTTAGGGGGTTCTATTTAAAATGTACAAATGCAATTGGAAGAGCTCACTTTCCTTTTAACAGGGCATAGCACATGAATTTTAACTTTTCCTGCAATTGAAACTTCTTTTAGTTCGTTCATGAATTATAATTTCTGGTAACAGATACAGGCAGTTGTCTGTTTTTGACTCTAAGAAGTGATCTTTTAATACAGCTGCAGAGTAGTGAATGAAGAYTGGCATTGCAGCAGTGAAATATATGAGGGCTGGAATTACACCACTGGATAATTAAAAGCAATCTCAGTGAAAACCAAATCACATTGGAAGTAGTACTATGCAAAAATCCTTAGTGAGATATAAAGATGTATAACAATACAAAATCTTGGTGCACGTGAACAGGAATCTGAGAGTAAGCCATGCTTCAGTAAGCAGAAGGGCACTGCCTGCTTTTCAGGTATGAGCTGTGAAAAGTGGGATTCATAAGGGACTTGCAAATTTCYATTCTGACCTCTGTGCATACATGTRTGTTYAGTAGAGGCAGTACCTCCAGAAATTTTGGAGGTGGATTGTTTTCTAGCAAAATCAAATTGCTGTGAAGAACTTAAACACTTAACTTTACTTGCCATGCAGTGAAACAGTGCAGCTGGACTGGGAATACTATGACTTTGACTCCTGGGCGTCAAAAGATTTTTAAAATGTGGCAAATATAAAAACTGTTGCCCTATGTTTTCCTCTCTGTTGCTAAGATCTTTGTATTTCATATCTGCATGATCATTTATGTGATCATGGACATTTAAGGCATTATAGTAGTAAGAAAATAGAAAACAAACACTGATTTAARGGTCTCACTCATAACAATGATGCTATCCCTAAAATTTTATTATGTTACTGATGCAGCATAAATAAGGTGTGCCAATGTTACAGACAAGAAGTAAGACTTTCAAGTACAAAATACAAAAAGTATTCCTTTTAAAAATGTTTGGACTGTCTTTTGTAAAATTCTTAGATGTATCTGTTAAAATGAAATTATTGTTTTAATTAATGCATGAAGGAGAGCATGTAACTTAAATTCATAGTCAAAATAGCATTTTAAACATGTCATAGTCCTAGAGTCAACAGAGAATTGCACTGTGGAAGCAGAAATCTACTATGTGATTTCTAATTGTACATTATGTTCAAGGCTATTTTTTTCTGATTATTTTGAGTGATTTTACACTGYTTCTAAAGCTCTTTTTAGTCATCTCTAGGGCTGTCCAAAAATTCTTGAACCAGAATCCTTTTGAAGTAGGAAGACTTTTGGCAGAGTAGCTTTTTRAAGAAAAGTGTCAGTTTTGTGGGATAGTTCAGTTCTTTTGTCAGATTATTTTGGCTGAAAACCAGGAGAATTTAGCCAAAAATATTCTCATGGTGTCTCTTGGGAAGTGTAGTTTGTGCTTTGCATTGAATTTCACTACTGGCTGAACTTCACAGCTGAACCATGCTTCCCGTAAGCCTGTGTCAGGGTCTTGCTATTTTAATTTCACTTGATAAAAGGAGTGTGAGGATGGATTTTGGAAAAGATAGTCTTGTGAAAGAGGCACAGACTGGGCTTGTAAAGCACTAACTGGATGATAACTACTTGGCAGCTTCTTAAAATTCGAGGGCTTCCCTCTGGTTTGCAGATAAGCCACAGGCCATCCTGATTTTTGGCCATGAAAGCATGACCCTTCAAGAGAGTGTCAGCAGATGGTTTAAAACATTTTTAGCCATGCAAWCACCTGTACAAGAGAGAGAACATATAATGACATTTCTAAGGCTTTGTTAATGCTTCTTCTGACTTTTGCACTGAACGTGTTCCATTTTATTTATTTGGAATTGAAAAATGCAAGGRAATGTAGTTGGATTTTAAGATCTTTTAAGAACTCTTAAGCCCAGAGGAAAAAAAACCTACTAGGAGCCTGAAGCTTTAGAAAGAGGTGGTTTTGAAAAGCCAGCTAGGTATCATCTCACCCGTCTAAGTGCCTCTTCAGAAAAATCTAGTCCTGAGTCATTTGCCTATAATTGCATAAAATGTCTGCAGCCAAAAAAAGAAGCGTGGGTCTGTTTGAGCTCTTCATCAGTGCACCAGTCTCTTCATTTTTCCTTAGGATCCAAGGATCCTTAGCTTCTGGRACTCCTTGGATGCTGCTTCCTCAAAACTGGATCGGGAGATTGGTTAGGAGGTCCATAGGGTGTCCTGCAGGCCAGGAGTAGTAACACAAATGGTGAGGAGTTTTAGGGTTGCACTGGTTTCCTTCTGCACTGAWTCATGGAATGTTTTGAGTTGGAAGGGACTTCTAAAGATCTAGTCCAACRGCACGTGAACAAAACACAGACACCAATGAAGAGATTCACAGTGCTGCAAGTTGGATACCAGACTCCAGACCAAGAGCAGGCAATGTTTATGTGCAATACAGAGTGAGTGGAGGAGTGCTAAGTGCTGAAGAAAGTGACTCACCACAGTCAGACAAGTGTGTGATGGCCACAGCAACCATATCAAAATTGCTTGAGAGAGATGCTCCATGGTTCTCTCTGCTGGATGTGGAGGTGAATCAATTCCCTGTCTTCAGTGCCAAGTGCCTGCAGGAACTGGAGTTCTGGAAGGTGGAAATRTACCTTGAATATGTGTGCTGAGTTGTTCTTCAGGCATGGATACTTTGAAAAATGGCTCTGAGGAAAGTTTTCTGCAGTTCTCTTTGAAAAATAGACTGCTGCCACCCAGATGCCACACAACAACTGGCATAACAACCACTTACCCGAGAAAGAGAAGGTCTAAATGCAGCTCATTGCACTGCTCCAAAGTCCACCTCCCATCTGCTGAAAAGGTGCCATTTTTACTCATCAGCATAGTAATTTGGTGTGCTTAGAGGAGACTGAATGATTTTGGATATATTTCCTTGATGGAAATGGGCTAGTTGGGAGAAGAGTGTCTTGTTACTCTCTTCAGGCAAGATGTTGACCATCTCTGGTCTGTGCAGTAAGAAAAGCTTAGGCACTCAAGTTTTCCAATGAAACTTCAGGAACTTCCTACCTCTTAAGATGTCTGAATTGTAAGGAGATGGTTTTGGTTGCTTTGTTTGAACTTGGGATGAGGCCGCAGAGAGAGATTCAGAGGTTGTCAGTGTTGAACTTAAGCAGCTTGCACTTAGTTTAGAGGTGAAGAATGGGGGCAAAGAATGGAGAATGGAAAGAGAAACTGCTTCAGCTTTGGCTGTTGTTTGAGTAGGGACCTTAAAGAATGAAGCTGCRTCCATAGATGTGCTTAAATTCCCAGTGCCTCTTTGTCTGGTTTAAGTATGGCTCTCTGTGATTATTTTCTTTTTGTCCTGTTTGCTAATTGCAGAATAAGCATGAATAATAACAATTAAAAGATCCTACAGACAATACTCTAAGATTTTCAGTTAAATTTCAGTGATTTTCAGGCTTCGTTGTAGATCATCCCAAAATTTCCTGTGATGGTGCTGACAATTTTAGCAGATACTTGAACTTGCTGACAATAGGAATGCATTTATTTATCTTTAGTGGACTCTTTAGAAATAGTTTATGGGCCTCCAGGAGACCATGGATGAGATGTTGATTTGATCTCCATCTGGTTTAAATGCCAGCGTCGGTCTGCTTTTTAGGGGGACAAAATGATATAAGTGATTGTATAATTTTTTTTTCTACTTACAAGCAGAATTTTTTATTATCATCAGAGAAAGTTTTGTAAGAAATCTTTTGAATTTTGGGAATTAAAGAGCTTTAAAAAATTGTTGTGAAAGAACTGACAATGTTAGATGGCACAGTAATTATAGCTAATCAATTTAAAAACATCAGACAAGAATGTAATGAAGGCCTAGCACAGGAAACAGAAAAAAGAAATCTTATTACATAGGAAAAGAAAAATGTGTGTCAATGAGCTTTCTTGTCAGAATGGTGTCAATGAGAAAACAGGTCTCTGATGGCTCATTGGAGTGGAGTTACYTTTTAGGAAACCAGTACTGAGAACATGTGGCAGAGCAAGAAAAGGACTGATGGTGCATTCTGAGACTCCAGGGTGCTCAAKCTGTCAGCAGCACCTACAGGTGCATTCGCAGTGTTTCTCTCAAGCTGTGCAATGAACTTGCAGTTTAAAGTTAATGGAGAGATGAAGTGAGATGATGTGATGAGAGYCATGCTATGAGCTGCAGCTGAAAAACATCTTCATTGGAGATTATCTACGTTTGCTGTTTAATATCTTCACAAATTGGTTTTGCTCAGCCAGGAGAGAAGGCTTTGGGGTGACCTAATTGCAACCTTCCAGTGTCTGAAGGGAACTTACAGGAAAGATGGARAAGGAGATTTTATAAGGGCATGTAGTGACAGGACAGGGGATAGGGATTCAAACTGAAAGAAAGGAGGTTTAAATTAGATATTAGAAAAATATTCTTTACTGTGAGTCACTGGAACAGGCAGCCCAGGGGAGTTGTGGGTGCCCCAAACCTGGAAGTGTTCAAGGCCAGGTTGGAGCTCTGAGCAGCTGGGTCTAGTGGAAACTCTCCCTGCCCGTTGCAAGAGGGGTTGGAACCAGATGGTCTTTAAGGTCCCTTCCAGCCCAGCCCATTTGATGATAYGATATATGATATGTCAAAATTGCCTTTTATATAATTGTGGAGTATCAAAATGTTTCTATTGCCGCTCTCTACTTTTTATGACTGTTATATAAAACTCTCAGGGTGGCTTGGTGGGCAGCTGGCATCTGGCCAAGGTCAACCCATCACATCCGACAGTCTGTCTCCTAAGCAATTCTGTATTTAAACATTTTCCTAT